TGGGGTACTTTATTTAATATGTACCTTGTTTTTTAAAATCCTAAAATTACAGGGTCCGGCAATAGTGCGTCGGACATCCTCCTCCTAGAATAAAAAACTTGGGAATTTTGTTTAATGTTAACCTAAAGTATGCACGAGCATGTATTTCAATTTTTTATTATAGGAGCTACAGATGCCCGACACACTTTTGCCAAACCCTGTATAGTACTCTCGGTTCTCTTAGTGTGAAATATACCCTATCGATTAAGTTAAGGGTAGAACCAGTAATAAGCACAAAGTAAAGGACGGAGTGAAGGAGTCAAAACGTCGCCCCAAGCTACACAGTGAACGATCTAAGACGGCCGGGGCCGGGACCCATTCATTTGTTTGTTATGAATTATAAATGGCCGCCTCGGATCGCTGCCTTGCCTTCTATACACTTGTTTTGTTTGGCGGCAAAAATGAAACGCCCGTATAGGTTAATTAAATGATTATTGTATGAAGAGCCTCTTGAATGTTCCGGAGGAAATTGGCTAGAACGCCTTCAGTCCGTTTTATACAATAAAAACAAGTTTTCTTGGGTGAAAATCCAAATTTAAATGTTATATGTCTCTTCAAAAAGGCCTATGAGTAATTCGTCACTTGCAAGAGAATCTACAAAATAAAATAGTTATTTTTAAATACTGCTGCGTTAATCCAATGGATAAGTGGCGAAATACCCATAGAAATTTTTTGAAGAGATGAATCCGCCACAGAGGTATAGACATTTGTTAAATGTCTCCTTATATATTTCCCTGTCTAAGCCAATCCTGTATTAAAAACCGCTTAGACGCAATGCAGGAGCGTTAGTCCTTCGACAAGAAAATAAATTGCCACGGAAAAAAATCTGCCTAATGTTAAACCGATATTGTAAGTGTCGTTGGCGACGAGGATCTAATTTGAAACGGTACAAGACATATTTTTGGCAAAAAACCGTCGGGATTTGGAAGTGGATTCGAAATAAACTTTATCACGGGAGCCGTAACAATTGAGGTTTTATCAGTCGATAGGATAAACTTTTACAGAGCTTAAAGCTCTCGAAGAGAGGGAGCGGTAAAGACAAGATCTGGAATAAGAAGAATTGGGAAACAAAAAACAGAACTTATTTACTTTTTACTTAAATATAACTGCCTAAACCTCTAGTTTATACGGCTTGGATTATTATTGCCAGTTTTCATAAAAGAAATACTACATTATTAATTTAATTCGTTTAAAAATCATAATTTTCATATCATAAGCCAAATGTTAGAACCATTTTTGTATACATATATTATTATCATCCCGTGTGCCCAGTATATGGATGTATACCATGATAGTAAGATCCATGATTACCTATAGAGCAGTTGCTTGGTACACAAAACTAGAGCAACATACAGCAAGACAAAACCTGTGCAAAGTACAGAGACTGGCATGCATCTGCATCGCAGGTGCCATGAGAACATGCCCAACAGCAGCAATGGAGCTCATTCTAGACTGATTAAAATGCTCATTGACAGAAACAGTACTGGGAAAACTGTCAGCTCAGCAGAGCTTGGACCACCTTGAAAACAAAATTCCAATTCTCCCACTCCATACCAAGAATGAACTTTGAGCAACACCTCACTGTAGTATTGAGCAATAAAAAGGATTGGAAGAGAGAAACGTTTGCTCGGCATGGAAAAGACCGCACCATAACGTGGTATACTGATGCTTCTAACCGCAACCAAAGCAAGGACAGAGATGAGTATTTGGGCCAAAAACTAAATACTCCGAACCAATTGTTTTGTTTCTGCCTAATTTCAATGGCGTTGTTCTTTTTTAGATATTAGTTTTTATTAATAGTTGTTTTTTAGGCCTGTAAGTATCACTGCTTCTATTCTGGATTCTGGTCCCTCTTTATAATACACTGTAACCTCCGCCCATGCGAAAAATGACCTCTCAGGCCGATCCAGTTAGTGAAACGTTTAAAAATGACCACGGGGCCCTCATCGTGCGCTAAACATTTACAGGAAACTGATAAGATGCAGACACACACAAAGCTAGCCCCTCGCAGTCATTTATACCGTTTAAGGGATAATCTGGATAATACATCCCCGACTTATCTTTGCGCTCGCCACTGCTTTGAACAAGCTACTATGTAATACAGTCAACTTCGAACCCTCAGCCTCATTTTTAACAATGCTACATTTAATTTCTTCCTCTCCTGTACATTTTTTAACTTAGCTAGTAGGATGTATATTATATACAGGGTGTCCGAGAAATAAGTGCAAGTATTTTAACTGGTAGTATATTTCGGCCTCAGAAACACGCCTATGAGTTTTTTTTTGCGAAATTTTTTTTTGGAAAATTTGGAATTTTTTGGAAATTTTTTAGTTTTAAGTTAAAAAAACATAATTTCTTGATAATAAGGCAACATAGGTAGTAGATTAAATTTACATGAAAGACAATCCAGAGAAGATCCAGTGGTTCTCAAAATTTAAGCAAAAAAGCATTTTTTGTTTAAATTTTCATGGACTTACTTAAAAAACGGTGAGGAGAAAAAATGTTTTTTGACCAGATCTACCACCTCTTAAAATAGTTACACTTATTTCTGGGACACCCTGTATACAGGGTGTCCGAGAAATAAGTGCAAGTATTTTAATTGATAGATAGTTAAGCGAAAAAAAATGTTGAACATTTCATTATCCACATTCTGTATGTTTATAAGTTATAAGTTCACATTTTTAAATTTCTACAAAAATACATTTAAATTCATTTTATTGACATTAGATTTTTTAATCATTGTAGATTATTATTAAGTATAGTGCAACGTCTACTATTTTCAATACCTTTTTTACAATAAACTGAAATAATGAAACTCAGATCTACCATCCTATGAAATACTTGCACGTATTATATAATATATACACTATATATAACCAGTGAAACTAAAGCAGAAATGAGATACTTTTGACAAATGATTAATTCTAAGAAATATTTAGAGGTCTGAAATAATAAATCTCTGTCAGAACAGTATATTTTTTATAGTGTTTAAAAAGAAAATATAAAGAGAATGAAAACACCTCCTGAAGATTTCCATCCCGATAAATGTGTGGGACATTATGCGTAAAGAAAAATGCGAAAACATTTCGGCAATATACATTATGGCGTTGCTGTATTAGCATAAAACAACATTGTGCCAACTATTTAGTTATTCAAATCACGGGGGCAATATTTCTGAAAGAAAATCTACAGTTATTTTTCAGTAGAAAAAAAACGTCATAATCATACTATCATCCCTTAATTTAGACCGTCTTTCTCCCCCGTTTGCCACTTGATAGCATTTTATACGAAAACAAGCGCTATATTCTTTGCAGAGGATGCCCTTAAGGGGAGGTGAATTTTTATTTTATAACTTTAGAAAAAATAAAAGTATAACACATTATATTTTATATGAATTTTTACCTTTTACAAGTAAATTATTAGTATCTCTCTTTGTAGAGAATTATACAGAACCATTTACTTTTTACAGATTTTTAATTATGATACATATTCAAATATTCCAAAATAATATTTTTAAAACAAAATTTTCAGTATCAATAGACAGTTTTATACATTTTTTTGTATCTCTATAAACAAGTTTAAGAAATTAATTATTTTTTTGATTATCGGTACCTCTTCGGCTTCCGAGCAATGGGAGATTTCGAGACTTGGTAGGCATAAGGTTTTGGCTGTTAATAAAAATTCTAATATTCACATATAAGAAACAAAACTTGCAGTATCTATAGGAAATTTTATGTACTTTCCATATATGTATAGAAAAGTTTAAGAAATTAATTATTTTTTTAATTATTGGTCCCTCTTCGTCTTCAGAGCAATGGCAGATTTAGAGACTTGGTAGGCATAAGGTTTTGGCTGTTAATAAAAATTCTAATATTCACATTTAAGAAACAAAACTTGCAGTATCTATAGGAAATTTTATGCACTTTCCATATATGTATAGATAAGTTTAAGTAATTATTTATTTTTTTGATTATCGGTCTCTCTTCGGCTTCAGAGCAATGGGAGATTTGGAGACTTGGTAGGCATAAGGTTTTGGCTGTTATAAAAATTCGAATATTCACATTTAAGAAACAAAACTGGCAGTATGTATAGGAAATTTTATCCATTTTCCATATCTATATAGATAAGTTCAAGGAATTAATTATTTTTTTGATTATCGGTCCCTCTTCGGTTTCAGAGCAATGGGAGAATTCGAGACTTGGTAGGCATAAGGTTTTGGCTGTTATAAAAATTCTAATATTCACATTTAAGAAACAAAACTTGCAGTATCTGGCTGTTATAAAAATTCGAATATTCACATTTAAGAAACAAAACTGGCAGTATGTATAGGAAATTTTATCCATTTTCCATATCTATATAGATAAGTTCAAGGAATTAATTATTTTTTTGATTATCGGTCTCTCTGAGGCTTCAGAGCAATGGGAGATTTGGAGGCTTGGTAGGCATAAGGTTTTGGCTGTTATAAAAATTCAAATATTCACATTTAAGAAACAAAACTGGCAGTATGTATAGGAAATTTTATCCATTTTCCATATCTATATAGATAAGTTCAAGGAATTAATTATTTTTTTGATTATCGGTCTCTCTTAGGCTTCAGAGCAATGGGAGATTTGGAGACTTGGTAGGCATAAGGTTTTGACTGTTATAAAACTTCTAATGTTCATATTTAAGAAACAGAACTGGCAGTATCTATAGAACATTTTATGCACTTTCCAGATATGTGTAGATAAGTTTAGGAAATTAATTATTTTTTGATTATCGGTTCCTCTTCTGCTTCAGAGCAATGGGAGTTCGAGACTTATGTAGTATGAGATTTCGACTATGATAAAAAACTTAATATTCATATTTAAGAAACAACGCTTCCATGATCTATAGAAAATATTATGCACTTTCTAGACCTGTATATATAAGTTTAAGAAATTAATGATTCTTTGATTACTATAGTACTTTTTGTGTTTTAGAGCAATGGAGGGGTTCGAGATTTGGTAGGCACAAGGTTGGTGAAAATGCTAAAATAGTAATTCAAATGTTTTGGTGTTTCGTGGCAAAAGAAGAACCATATGGCGTGAGATTTTCGGTTACGTAGCAGAGAGATAAATCAGACGGGTGCATGGCGGTTCGTCGTTTTGTTTGTCGGATGGAGCTGTGTGTGCATTGGCTTGACCGATCCACGGCGCAAGAGCGCCGACGACGGCATCTCAAGACTTCTATTTTGTTGTTTTGTAGGTAAGAAATAGAATAAAATGTGTTGTATTGTTGCGTGGGCCGGGCTGGCAACGTTCGGATTCGCGGCTGGGCGGCGCGCTGCGAGAACGTCGTGCCAACCAGGTGACGACTGCGCGATATTGCGTCACGCCCCTGGGCTTCCTGCAACGGTCAAGAGAAAAGCATCGTCTCAGATGGACCGCCAGCCAAGGTGCACGTGCTGGACCAGCATCTTTCGCTGCAGGAATGCAGCAACGATCGCTGAAAAAGCCCTACCGCCCCTTTGCATCCATTCCTTTCTTTCCCTCATATCCATAGTGTCGATAAACATATATATCTCGTGAGTCGACAGTGTATACAGGGTGGTCCGAACTGTATTCCGGAAACTTCGGTAGCATATTCTGCAGATAAAAATAAGTAAAAAAGTTCGTATATATGTATATCCTAAAATGCTTACTTTCGAAGATACAGGGTATAGTTTCATTTTTATTTCGATTTTTTCCAAATAATTTCTGAAGCAACGTCAATATTTGGATGAAGATTGGCGTCTGTGAGTTTTTTCACATGAGAAATTTGATTATGATGTCAATATGACACCTATTTCTAGAGGGTGCCACCTACATATTTTTTAACTGGTTTGAAGAGTAATAACTTTATGTCCGTAACTGTATAAAACTACTGAGTAAAAAAAAAATACATTTGAAACGTTCTTTACGTAAAAAAGGTCTCTTGGTACAAATCGCTACGTGTAATGGTTCTCGAGATATTTGGAACCGAAAGTATCAATACCTGTCATCATTGACATATATTAAACATGTTAATTAAATTAGTTATTGCCCCAAAAGTTCAACAGGACCTGTTTTATCATCATTTTTTTCTAAAAAATTATGATTAATTTAAAAAAATAAAAAGTTCCCAAATTTATCATTTCAGTCAAATAACTATCCACCCAACATGTTTAATTTGTGTCAATAATAACATGTATTGACTATTTCTATTCTAAATATCTTGAGAACGGTTGCTCCTAACAGTTTTTATTAAAAGACATTTTTTACGTAAAAAATCACGGAAATGTATATTTTTTTACTCACTATTTTTATGCAGGTACGGACGAAATGTTATTACACTTCAAAATAGTTAAAACATATGTATGTGGCGCCCCCTGCAAATAGGAGTCATATTGACATCAAAATCAAGTTTCTCATGTCAAAAAACTCCCAGACGCCAATTTTCATCCAAATATTGATGGTACTTTAGAAGTTATTTGAAAAAAATCGAAATAAAAATGAAATTTTTACACCCTGTACCTCCGAAACTAAGCATTTTAGAACATACATTTATACGCAATTTTTTACTTATTTTTATCTGCAGAATACAGTGCCGAATTTTCCGGAATACAGTTCGGACCACCCTGTATATACTCTACACTTATGAATATTAGGACACGAAATTTCTATCAATTTAACTACTACGTGAATAATTAAATCAGATGATGGCATATACATAATCTTAAAAATAAGATTATTTGCATCGATCTTCAACTACAAATCAGCGCCTTAAAAAATATTTAGGCAGAATATAAATATAATAAATACTTACGAAGTAAATAAAAACAGACAGCGACAACATTTAGCACAGTATTCTTACATCACGAAATAAGTTTACACTGGCAGTCAACACAAGTATCTTTCTACTGACGATTAAAAAAAATATATTACAAATATTGATATCTTACTTCCTTTGACAAACTATTGCATAAAAGTCATATCAGAGTTGATAGAAAAACAATAGCCTTAAAACAAAACTATCTGTAAATTAAATAAAAATTATTTGTCCGGTAGATATAAAATATTCCGTAATTTATCTGACAATCTATTTTATAAAAGTCAGTACCTTTTTGGAGACGAAAAGTTATTCAAGATATATTATTCATACATAAAACAAAAGGAAAAAATTAGTCGGCAAGCCCTCAACAAACTTGTAATTCTTTGTCGTGTCAAAAATAAAAATTTAATTTTAATAATATATATGTTTTTTAATAAATCCGAATATTTCAGTATCATGTACAAGGTATGTCAGTGTGAATGTACAAGGCGAGACAACAATAGAGTAAAGTTTATTATGTAATTTATATCGAAACTATGAAATATGACATACTAATTAAACGTTGACGTCAATCCCCATTTCTTCAGATATTTTTGTAAAGGCATCATGCACACTATTTCTATTTTTTTTTATTTTTGTCGCTACGATTACATAAATATGGACATGTATTTTTTCACAAATACGTTTTTTCTTCCATTTTTTAGACTACTGTGTGTGAATTATTTTTATATCGACTGGCGATTGCTAGATGTACAGGATGTCCCATTTTGGTGTGTTTTATGGGGTTTCTGGTTTATGAGTAGAGATATAAAGATGCCGTTTTCACATCATCGTTCTACTTATTATGAAACTAAATATGCTACACACAGATTTATCCTAGCCTTCTTAGTTCAGAGTTATTCCTTATTTCTTTCTTTTACTTTTTATTTTTTTAATTAGTAGAAATTTTTGCATTTTTCGATAACCTTTGTATCTCGATTATCTAATAACTTATCGAAAAGGTGAAAATGATCAGCGATGGGCGGTGGGTAAGTACCCAATTTGTAGATAAATAAAATCTGGGTATATATGTATATACCTACCTGTAGATTTAGATGAACATCCTAATTTTAATAAAAGGAGTTTCCGACGACCGCATAGTAAATACCCGGTAGGTATAATACCGGGAATAGAAATATACCAATATATATATATATATATATATATATATATATATATATATATATATATATATATATATATATATATATATATATATATATATATATATATATATATATATATATATATATATATATATAAGGAATATTGTAGATATACTCCGTATTCTTGATATTACTGGTATTATACCGGGTATTTACTATGCGGTGGTTGAAAATAGCTTTTATAAAATTAGACTGTTCATCTAAATGTACAGGTATATACCGGATAGCCTGATTTTGTTTTGTTCTACCCATTGAGTACTTACCCACCGCCCGTGTCTCATTTTCAGGTAGAATGCAGTGACGAAACTAGTTCTGTCTATTTCGAAAAACGACTCAAACTTATGTTCTTTTTTTTTAAACAGGACACTCTATATATTATTTTTTATTTTATTTACCTTGTTATGAGCTTTCTAAAATTATAATATAACTATATTTATAAAAAAATATAACTATATTTATTTATTTAGGTACTGCTAAACGGCTCTTATTTTATTTAACTTAATTTTACCAGATAACTTTGCTTTGCATCGTGATATTTTGATAAACTACACGGAAACTGAACTCGTGCTACTTTTAAATAACATGCCAATAACCAACATTTTACGTTCGAATAAATTAGTTGATTGTTTTGATTACCTAATTTAAACCGGCCGACTATGTAATAAAGTTAAATAATGCATTTTTACCCCGTTTATGAAAATAAGTATTTTAGAAAGCCCGTAACAAGGAAAATAAAATAATGTTCAAAATATCGCATAAAAACATATAAGTTTTAATCTATTTAAAAAAAGACAGATTCCAACGAAGAAATAGTTACGACACTGCATTCTACGTGAAAACTGTACGGGAAGACCGTTTTCACCCTTTCGATATGTTATGATATAAAAGGATCGAAAAAATGCAATAATTTCAGGTTCACCCTGTATTTTAGGAAGTAAGAGAGCTGGGACATATCTGTATGTAGCATCTTTAGTTTCATAAAAAGTAACAGCGTAATGTGAAAACCGCATCTTTGTATCTCGACTCATAAACGAGAAACCCTGCAAAACACACGAAAATGGGACACCCTGTACAGACGTACTGCCAAATCAAGAAATTACCTACGAATGAAATCCAAGATCGATTTATATATTTTAGTATTTTAGTATTTTTTGTGTTCGTGATAATTCCTTTGCTACTTCCTCCAAAACCGACAGTACGTGGAAGGAGCGTTTCGAGGAAGTAAACGGACGAAGTAGCGTTTTGACGAAGGAGGAAGGAACACACACTCGCATAAAATCGACATTTTCCCATAGTAAATATATGATTTTTGGACGAAGGGACGCGAGGAAGGAACGAAGTGAAGTAGCGAAGTGTGAGTACGGGGCTTGAGTGTGAATGTCTACAATAGTGTACGCTGGTGTATACGGTTACGAGTTTGTTGAGGGATTGCCGACTAATTTTTTCCTTTTGTTTTTCTATATTCACTATTTAAATTTTTACTTTATTCATACATATGTATACTACGGAAATATGTTACATCAAACTTTGATACCGATGAACCATCATCATTTCCAGGTATGGTGTAGCCTTCATAACATATTTAGGTACTCTTCGTCCTTCTTGCCAGATGTCCTGCTCCCATTGCCACTTGAGGGATTTCATTCTGTGGATGACATCAATTATCTGGGTCTTTTCTCGTATCCACTCTATTCTTCTAGGGCCTTTCTTAGTTATTCTCAGCATATTTCGTTCCATTGAGTGTCGTGCAGTTTTCTTATAATGTCCGTTTTGAAGATCCAGGTTTCGCATGCATAGGTTATGACTGGTAGTACACATTGGTCGAATGTTTTCATCTTTAGATAAAGTGGCAGTCTAGGTTTGAATATGATTGAGTTTCTTCCATAAGTACTCCATGTTAACTTAATTTTTCCGTTGCTTTATGGTGTAGAGATCCCGAGCTGTGTACTAATTCTCCCAAATATTCTTCTACCATTTCCAGTGCTGTGTTTATTACAATGTCTTTTCTGTCTACTAGTTCGTTGTACATTACTTTAGTTTTTGCCAAATTCATTTTGAGGCCTACTGTATTGCTGGCTGTATTTAGTTCGTTAATTTGTGCTTGTAGCTCTTGACTAGTGGCAATTAGGACTATGTCATCATCGAATCTAGATGGTTAAAATATTCTCCATCTATTTTTAATCCTTTGTTGGTCTAGTACAGTTGA